ATTATTAAAAACTAGATCATTGGATAATGCAATTCAAGACTTTTTATTGGCTTTGCCATTATGGTATATCACCCACTATACCATAATCTACAAATATGGTAAGCGTACGTGTCAGCTTAAAATTAAAAGGGAGCTAAAAATTTAATAAAATTTAATAATTTAATTTAAAGTTTTTAATAAAACAATTATTCCACTCGCGCTTGTTGGATATGGGATGATTATAGCCAACTCGGCGCTACGTGCCTCGTTGGCTATCTATCATCTCATATCCAACGCGTGCTCGTGGAATAATTGTTAAATATTCTCATGACCTTAATGTTTGACCGAGAAATTAGACACTGGTCACTTTTAGAAGTTAATGAATGTTGCAGGAGACATCGTCATCGTTATCCTCCTCCTTCTGCTCATCACCGTCAACGTCATCATTATCCTCATCATCCTCATCATCATCATCTGGCTCGTTTCTGAATCTTATTCCTTCTTTTTTAAGCTCAGCTTTTGTACGAAGTCGGTTGATGCCCGTCTCAAATAAAGATCTATACCTCTGTCACAAGAAAAAAGGCAACGATATCAAACACAACACCAATTATGTGTACCACTCAACTGGCATTTTCATGCAAGATAAATATTGAAAACAGCTTGCTTTTCCCCGCGTATATCGAAATATCACCTTTCCATCGCTGTGGTAGAAAATACCTGTTTCATTAACTATGTGTAACACCCAACTTACATTTTCACACACAAGCTAATTATTTGACGCATTCAAATATATTTGTCCAAAAAGCGAGCAGTGAAAGAGAAAATTCACTTTTGAATTCAAATAGCTACAAGCGACTAAAACTTTATTTCACAACAGGGGAAATGTTCTCAATGGTCCCTGACAATTAAAATAAGGCGATACTTTACAGACAAACAGATGATTAAATTGAATACTATATTTTTAAAAGGAAACAAAACTGTCTAATATCTTCTCAAATTGATATCAATCCGAATTCAAAGTATTGGCTATCATTCCTTACCAGAGGGGAAATAAAAAATTTAACAATTTTTTAACCTTTCACGCGTACACGCGACGGGATTTACTCTAGATCATTTCTCTACTGGCAAAACTGTTTGTTTTGCACGAAATTATTTTAATCCCTGTCTAGTTACGCAACATCCCTAGTGGCATATCTCTATAAAAGAGAACACGCGCTTCGAAACTTCAGAGGGGAGGGTATTTCGTTAATAGGCTCTAGGCACGAACAGAGCAAGAATCGTAATACGAATACAAGGTTCAGGAAAGGAATACAGAATTGTAAGTAAAATTAAAACATGTTTGCTGTTTGAATTAGTCCAGGGACATTGCGGCATAGTGCCTAAAAACGATTGTAATTTGTCTGTTTGAGTTTAACTCTATATGCTTCAAGAGAGAAGGAGTGCAGAAATAAATTCCACATATTTCCCAAGCTGTTGAGGTCCATTACAAGTTCAATACACTGTTACACGACTGAAAGTCGGACAAGTCTAGATGTTCCTTCTTGATGATCCGGGGTTATCGTTATAATGTTCTTCTCAGCTTTACTAGAAGCATAGAGTTTTCCTTTCAATGAAACCGTACTATTCTGAGAAAACTCCACGTTTGAAGCAAATGCGAGACACCTAGTAAATAATAATGATAAAAAACAAAACAAAACAAATCAAAAACAACTTCAAGGTTCACACTTGTGCTCCGCTCAACGAACGCCTCCTAAGCTATCATTTCACGCCACACAAGTTAATTGTCTACTTTTTTTTTTTTTTTTTGGATGTGAGGGATAATGCAGGATATCCGTATTCCTAGAAGCAAATAATAAACGCCCACTCCACAGGAAAGGCAAGACGAGCAGCGAATAAGGTAGGCAGATGTTTTATTCTAGTGATGGTAATAAAGCCTAGTTCCTACTAGCAACATAATGATCATAATCACAAGCACGAACATCAACATACGCTTCTTATGTTCAAGTGGGAACGGTTTTCAACTGCACTCGCAAGCTTTTCCTCGAATCTGGCCGCCATCTTGAAATGAACCGACCCGAAAGTACTAGACCTAGACTTTTATTGGCCAAAACACAATGATCACGTTGCGTCATTATGTTTCTCATTATGTCGTTATAATTTTCGCGTTCCCACTACGAAGAAAAGTACCATGGTCATAGTCAGAGACATAATTATAATCATAAGAAAATGGTGGATCATTTTCTTATGACTATGAGTATGTTGATCATAAGGGCACCTATGATTATGTTTCTGGACGTTCCCACTAAGACATAAGCGACATAACAGCGTTATGTTCACGCTTATGATTATGATTATGCTCATTATGTCGCTAGTGAGAACTAAGGTTAAGAGTTTCACATCAAAAAGTTGTTTACGTTCACCGATGTCACAGAAACATGGGAAGCAGCGTAAAGTGTACACAGAATCAACTCCACGGTGTGTGGTAAATTGAAGTTTAAAACTTATTTTGTTATGATTTACGGGAGACCAAGCAGAAACAAACATACGATAGCAAGTTTAACAACTTCATTATCAACAATGTTGTTCTTTAATTTTTCTTCAAAAGTGAGCTTATACGACGCGAGAGAGACCGATAGGCCCCGATTTCTGACAGAGTTACACAACACGAGCAGAGTAGCCAAAAGAGAAAAGAATCCAACTGATAAATAAGAATAAGGAAACCATTGAAGAGCGAGTAAATTATAACACAGTGCCGAGTTTGACTAATGGTCGCGTGTCGCGCCA